TTGTGTTCATCAATGTTGCAAGTTTAAAGACAGTTTATTGAAGTACTAAATAATTGTGTTCATCAATAATGCAGGTTTAAAGACAGTTTATTGAAGTACTAAATAATTGTGTTCATCAATGTTGCAGGTTTAAAGACAGTTTATTGAAGTACTAAATAATTGTGTTCATCAATGTTGCAGGTTTGAAGGCAGTTTATTGAAGTACTAAATAATTGTGTTCATCAATGTTGCAGGTTTAAAGACAGTTTATCGAAGTACTAAATAATTGTGTTCATCAATGTTGCAGGTTTAAAGACAGTTTATTGAAGTACTAAATAATTGTGTTCATCAATGTTGCAGGTTTAAAGACAGTTTATTGAAGTACTAAATAATTGTGTTCATCAATGTTGCAGGTTTAAAGACAGTTTATTGAAGTACTAAATAATTGTGTTAATCAATGTTGCAGGTTTAAAGACAGTTTATTGAAGTACTAAATAATTGTGTTCATCAATGTTGCAGGTTTAAAGACAGTTTATTGAAGTACTAAATAATTGTGTTAATCAATGTTGCAGGTTTAAAGACAGTTTATTGAAGTACTAAATAATTGTGTTCATCAATGTTGCAGGTTTAAAGACAGTTTATTGAAGTACTAAATAATTGTGTTAATCAATGTTACAGGTTTAAAGACAGTTTATTGAAGTACTAAATAATTGTGTTAATCAATGTTGCAGGTTTAAAGACAGTTTATTGAAGTACTAAATAATTGTGTTAATCAATGTTGCAGGTTTAAAGACAGTTTATTGAAGTACTAAATAATTGTGTTCATCAATGTTGCAGGTTTAAAGACAGTTTATTGAAGTACTAAATAATTGTGTTAATCAATGTTGCAGGTTTAAAGACAGTTTATTGAAGTACTAAATAATTGTGTTAATCAATGTTGCAGGTTTAAAGACAGTTTATTGAAGTACTAAATAATTGTGTTAATCAATGTTGCAGGTTTAAAGACAGTTTATTGAAGTACTAAATAATTGTGTTAATCAATGTTGCAGGTTTAAAGACAGTTTATTGAAGTACTAAATAATTGTGTTAATCAATGTTGCAGGTTTAAAGACAGTTTATTGAAGTACTAAATAATTGTGTTAATCAATGTTGCAGGTTTAAAGACAGTTTATTGAAGTACTAAATAATTGTGTTCATCAATGTTGCAGGTTTAAAGGTAGTTTATTGAAGTACTAAATAATTGTGTAAATCAATGTTGCAGGTTTAAAGACAGTTTATTGAAGTACTAAATAATTGTGTTAATCAATGTTGCAGGTTTAAAGACAGTTTATTGAAGTACTAAATAATTGTGTTAATCAATGTTGCAGGTTTAAAGACAGTTTATTGAAGTACTAAATAATTGTGTTAATCAATGTTGCAGGTTTAAAGACAGTTTATTGAAGTACTAAATAATTGTGTTAATCAATGTTGCAGGTTTAAAGACAGTTTATTGAAGTACTAAATAATTGTGTTAATCAATGTTGCAGGTTTAAGGACAGTTTATTGAAGTACTAAATAATTGTGTTCATCAATGTTGCAGGTTTAAAGGTAGTTTATTGAAGTACTAAATAATTGTGTTAATCAATGTTGCAGGTTTAAAGACAGTTTATTGAAGTACTAAATAATTGTGTTAATCAATGTTGCAGGTTTAAAGACAGTTTATTGAAGTACTAAACAATTGTGTTCATCAATGTTGCAGGTTTAAAGACAGTTTATTGAAGTACTAAACAATTGTGTTCATCAATGTTGCAGGTTTAAAGACAGTTTATTGAAGTACTAAATAATTGTGTTCATCAATGTTGCAGGTTTAAGGACAGTTTATTGAAGTACTAATAATTGTGTTCATCAATGTTGCAGTTTAAAGACAGTTTATTGAAGTACTAAATAATTGTGTTCATCAATGTTGCAGGTTTAAAGACAGTTTATTGAAGTACTAAATAATTGTGTTCATCAATGTTGCAGGTTTAAAGACAGTTTATTGAAGTACTAAATAATTGTGTTCATCAATGTTGCAGGTTTAAAGACAGTTTATTGAAGTACTAAATAATTGTGTTCATCAATGTTGCAGGTTTAAAGACAGTTTATTGAAGCACTAAATAATTGTGTTCATCAATGTTGCAGGTTTAAAGACAGTTTATTGAAGCACTAAATAATTGTGTTCATCAATGTTGCAGGTTTAAAGACAGTTTATTGAAGCACTAAATAATTGTGTTCATCAATGTTGCAGGTTTAAAGACAGTTTATTGAAGCACTAAATAATTGTGTTCATCAATGTTGCAGGTTTAAAGACAGTTTATTGAAGCACTAAATAATTGTGTTCATCAATGTTGCAGGTTTAAAGACAGTTTATTGAAGCACTAAATAATTGTGTTCATCAATGTTGCAGGTTTAAAGACAGTTTATTGAAGCACTAAATAATTGTGTTCATCAATGTTGCAGGTTTAAAGACAGTTTATTGAAGCACTAAATAATTGTGTTCATCAATGTTGCAGGTTTAAAGACAGTTTATTGAAGCACTAAATAATTGTGTTCATCAATGTTGCAGGTTTAAAGACAGTTTATTGAAGCACTAAATAATTGTGTTCATCAATGTTGCAGGTTTAAAGACAGTTTATTGAAGCACTAAATAATTGTGTTCATCAATGTTGCAGGTTTAAAGACAGTTTATTGAAGCACTAAATAATTGTGTTCATCAATGTTGCAGGTTTAAAGACAGTTTATTGAAGCACTAAATAATTGTGTTCATCAATGTTGCAGGTTTAAAGACAGTTTATTGAAGTACTAAATAATTGTGTTCATCAATGTTGCAGGTTTAAAGACAGTTTATTGAAGTACTAAATAATTGTGTTCATCAATGTTGCAGGTTTAAAGACAGTTTATTGAAGCACTAAATAATTGTGTTCATCAATGTTGCAGGTTTAAAGACAGTTTATTGAAGTACTAAATAATTGTGTTCATCAATGTTGCAGGTTTAAAGACAGTTTATTGAAGTACTAAATAATTGTGTTCATCAATGTTGCAGGTTTAAAGACAGTTTATTGAAGTACTAAATAATTGTGTTCATCAATGTTGCAGGTTTAAAGACAGTTTATTGAAGTACTAAATAATTGTGTTCATCAATGTTGCAGGTTTAAAGACAGTTTATTGAAGTACTAAATAATTGTGTTCATCAATGTTGCAGGTTTAAAGACAGTTTATTGAAGTACTAAATAATTGTGTTCATCAATGTTGCAGGTTTAAAGACAGTTTATTGAAGTACTAAATAATTGTGTTCATCAATGTTGCAGGTTTAAAGACAGTTTATTGAAGTACTAAACAATTGTGTTCATCAATATTGCAGGTTTAAAGACAGTTTATTGAAGTACTAAATAATTGTGTTCATCAATGTTGCAGGTTTAAAGACAGTTTATTGAAGTACTAAATAATTGTGTTCATCAATGTTGCAGGTTTAAAGACAGTTTATTGAAGTACTAAATAATTGTGTTTATCAATGTTGCAGGTTTAAAGACAGTTTATTGAAGTACTAAATAATTGTGTTCATCAATGTTGCAGGTTTAAAGACAGTTTATCGAAGTACTAAATAATTGTGTTCATCAATGTTGCAGGTTTAAAGACAGTTTATTGAAGTACTAAATAATTGTGTTCATCAATGTTGCAGGTTTAAAGACAGTTTATTGAAGTACTAAATAATTGTGTTCATCAATGTTGCAGGTTTAAAGACAGTTTATCGAAGTACTAAATAATTGTGTTCATCAATGTTGCAGGTTTAAAGACAGTTTATTGAAGTACTAAATAATTGTGTTCATCAATGTTGCAGGTTTAAAGACAGTTTATTGAAGTACTAAATAATTGTGTTCATCAATGTTGCAGGTTTAAAGACAGTTTATTGAAGTACTAAATAATTGTGTTCATCAATGTTGCAGGTTTAAAGACAGTTTATTGAAGTACTAAATAATTGTGTTCATCAATGTTGCAGGTTTAAAGACAGTTTATTGAAGTACTAAATAATTGTGTTCATCAATGTTGCAGGTTTAAAGACAGTTTATTGAAGTACTAAATAATTGTGTTCATCAATGTTGCAGGTTTAAAGACAGTTTATTGAAGTACTAAATAATTGTGTTATCAATGTTGCAGGTTTAAAGACAGTTTATTGAAGTACTAAATAATTGTGTTCATCAATGTTGCAGGTTTAAAGACAGTTTATCGAAGTACTAAATAATTGTGTTCATCAATGTTGCAGGTTTAAAGACAGTTTATTGAAGTACTAAATAATTGTGTTCATCAATGTTGCAGGTTTAAAGACAGTTTATTGAAGTACTAAATAATTGTGTTCATCAATGTTGCAGGTTTAAAGACAGTTTATCGAAGTACTAAATAATTGTGTTCATCAATGTTGCAGGTTTAAAGACAGTTTATTGAAGTACTAAATAATTGTGTTCATCAATGTTGCAGGTTTAAAGACAGTTTATTGAAGTACTAAATAATTGTGTTCATCAATGTTGCAGGTTTAAAGACAGTTTATTGAAGTACTAAATAATTGTGTTCATCAATGTTGCAGGTTTAAAGACAGTTTATTGAAGTACTAAATAATTGTGTTCATCAATGTTGCAGGTTTAAAGACAGTTTATTGAAGTACTAAATAATTGTGTTCATCAATGTTGCAGGTTTAAAGACAGTTTATTGAAGTACTAAATAATTGTGTTCATCAATGTTGCAGGTTTAAAGACAGTTTATTGAAGTACTAAACAATTGTGTTCATCAATGTTGCAGGTTTAAAGACAGTTTATTGAAGTACTAAATAATTGTGTTCATCAATGTTGCAGGTTTAAAGACAGTTTATTGAAGTACTAAACAATTGTGTTCATCAATGTTGCAGGTTTAAAGACAGTTTATTGAAGTACTAAATAATTGTGTTCATCAATGTTGCAGGTTTAAAGACAGTTTATTGAAGTACTAAACAATTGTGTTCATCAATGTTGCAGGTTTAAAGGCAGCTACTATGTCTACAAAAGATTGGAGCATGAGGCTGAGATGGCCCAGCAGCAGGACAGAGAGAGGGAAATGCAGCAAGATGTGATTCGAGGTCAGTGTGGCGATCATTGGCTGAATGAGTTGAGTTCAGAACTATCATAGCATTGTGGACATTCCCATAAGCACACTGTCCCCATTTTCAGCAGCCAGTGCAGAGTTCCCAAGTAGTACCAGTAGCAGCCTGATGATATTTCTGTCTTGCCTTTCTTCTGAGTGTTGAATGCTGGCCTGATCCTTATGGCCTCTCCCAGCTGTACTCTTTTCTTGATATCATCTTTGTTTTATTGTTTATGTTCACTTTCTGTTAGGTATGCCAAAATACTATTTCATAAATAACATTTGACATTTTTGTGTTATCAATTTTTTAGGTGTTTATCAACTTCCAACATTAACATTTTGATATATTTCACTTGTTATTTTCCCCCCTGCTGTTGCTGACTTTTTGTTTGTGTATTTAGAGGTGGGAAGTATGCTGCAAAAAAAAAAGACAGATGGACCGAAAGATAAAGATGTACAGACAAAGACAGAATAGAAACATAGAGACCAAGAGATGTGCTATGAGTCTACTTAATACAGTTGTACCTTGGAATTCAAACGCAATCCGTTCCTAGACTGTTTGAATTGTCGATTTTTCAAGTTCCAAGGGAATTGTTTTCACATTGAAAATAATGGAAACTAAATGAACCTGTTCCAGGGTCCACCAAACTCACATTTTTAAATGTATTTTCCTAAAACAGTACTCTGTAAATATAGTACCACATGATGTCATATTTGTATACAAACATACCAAAAAAGATATAAAAGCATTGTGTATAGTTAGTTTACAGATTATTCTCAATGCACATCGAAGCATTCAATACATTCATTGTGTATACTGTACCTTGATCAAATGGTGACATAGCACATAGAAATAGGAGAAGGAAAGGGGAATTTAGGGAAATTATTGTTTGGAAGGGGAGTTACCTTCCACGGTAACGTCAGGAATCCATTCTATGAAGTATGAAATATTGTAGAGCGTTTGGGGGGTCACTAGTTTTGTGAGTGCTGAAAGCCAGTGTTCCAAAGTGCTCTGGTGATGGTGACCATTTTAAATTGTTTTAAAATGTTCAATATGTTTGAATAAGTTAACACAGCTGTTGATTATGAATCTCTCAGTATGTTACCTCTCAACAACTTCTTGCGTTTTCGACCACATGGTGAAAAGATCCTGTATTTCAGCAATGCTGATCCTTCCAGCTGCCTCCTCTTCCTCACTGGAAGAAATGTCTTCTGCAATTTCTTCCTTCTGCTGCTGGTGAAGGTACTGAAGCTTTTGTGTTGTTAGCTCAGTCATATGCCAGGCGTTTGGTTTCCAGTGTGGTATTCGGGTTAAGGAGCAAAATTAACTTGAAAACTTCGTTCAGATTCCAAATTGTTTCCAGTTTTGAGGTGTTTGAGTTACCACTGTACTTTAAAGAAAAAGACTTCAAATTTTGAATTTTTTTCCATTAAAAAAAAAATATATCATGTCTGTAACCTAAACTTTAAATACTAAAGCACAAACACCCTTTGCTACACATACATACATACATACACTCATGCATGCACACAGACCCTTGCACACATATGAACACACACAAAGTCACAGTTATCATTTGCAGGTAACAGATGTGAATCTGGTGTGTAGTTTTTTTTTTTTTTTTCCAGTGTATCTTTTTTTTATATATTTTCTTTATCTACATGTGCAGATCAGTAGCCCACGACTGCACTATTTCTAGCAAGCGAACATCAATTTGATTTTATGAGATTCTAAATGCAATACCTTTTTCAGATACTGCTTACATGAACTGTCAGTATTATCTTCGCTCCCACCCAAACTACAGATTGTCTGAGCAGCTAAAAGATTTAGGTAGGTTAAACTCTTCAACCACTAACAGTTCAGTTCTAATCACTACTTAAACTCCTTTTGACCCATGACAGTTATTATTCACAGACTCTTACTTGCAAAGGACTGCAGGTTACACTTGGCTGCTGCAGCTACAGTTGTCTGTGGAATATGGTGGCCAGTCTCCTGCTAACCTTCTTTAGTATCTCTTACGACATGCAAGGCAGGGTACCATTTTAGTGATATTTTTCTTCCTTATAGCACTGGTAACAAAGTCAAGAGTGTAACTAAACATGCTTTATAACATGATGATGAATATTTATAAAATCTGAGAACATAAATTTATCTACTTTGATTATTGATGAAACACCATACCATACAAAGCATACATGGAAAGAGAAGAAGGACGTAGAGCACGGGGTAGACCAAGAACAAGATGGAAGGATAACATCAGAGAAACTCTACAACAGCACAATGTGCCTATGGTCGAGGCAGCCAGAAGAGCTAGAAACAGAACCTTATATCTTCCTCGACACCCACAGCGGTAAAAGAGGAAGTGAAGAAGAAGATTATTGATGAAAACTTGCTGCTTATCTATAATATTCATTCTGTCCATTGTAACAGCATCCTGCTATAGCCATCTAAATATATTTTGTTTCTCTGTATTTTTGTTTTGTATTTTGACACCTTTATCACAGTAATTCCAATTAAAAAAAATTATAACACATCTAGTAAGATCAGAGAAGATCTGTTTATGTATGAAATTAGAACTTTGCGTTATCAGTGCTGTTCATTCAAACATGAACCTGAATGTATTTATAAAACTGTGTTATTTAATTATAACTTGGTCACAAAGTGGAACTTGCCGCAAGATAGATATTTTACAGTAAGTAAATATATTCAGGGCATCTTCTTCTTTACTTCCTCCTCTTACTTCATTGATGCGCCTGGGGAGATGAAAGGATCTCCTGTAAGTTTTTTTCTATTCAATTTGAAAGTTGGTCTTCATTTCCAGGATGTTCTGTATGTTGTCATTCCATACTCTGCTTGGTCTTCCCCATGATTTGTGTCCATTATATTTTATTATCATGGCTCTCTTTGGCAGTTGCTACCAGGGCATTCTCATCAGATGGCCATACCATCTCATCTATTGCTCTTCAGTAAACTGTGTGACAGGTTTTAGTCCTAATCTTCTTATAATTTCTTCATTTTCAATTTGTATCACTTTTGATACTCCGGCAGTTTTCTAAAACATCTCATTTCTGTTATTATAAGTTTGTGCTCATTAGTTTTAGTAAGGGTCCATGTTTGATACTGGTAGCATATAATCATCATCATCATGGAGCAGGACCTTTGCAGAATGTTGCTCTCATCACAGTTTGCCTGAAAGAAACTCAGTTTCTCGCCAGCTCTCCCGCCTCATGTACCTTCATACTCAAGAAGTCACTTATATCTTGTTCCCATCTTCGTGTCATCCGGCCCCTGCCCCTCCTTCCTGGTACCATGCCTTCTGCTATAATTTTTTTCAAATCCGTCGTGGCGCTTGACATGACCAAAATATTTCAGCTTCTGAGACAGGATGCTGTTTATTAGCCAATCGTCCTTGATGTTCAGATCTTTGGTATTTCCCAAAACTCTCCAGTACTTTCAGACGACCTGGTAGCATATAAAAGTAAGTAAAGTAAAGATCCCTTTTCACGCCTTTCGGCGCATCAGGCATATGGGCAGAGCGTCCCATATTTTACAGACCATCAGCATTCTGTGGGTAATGTGGTCAGCATTACGCCGGCTGTCTTTACTTTCCCAGGATAGCCCATCCTGGTACCCATTTTAGGCTGGGTCGACCTGCGACGTCCCATACCACGACAAAAATCCACGCAGCCTGCAGTGGGTTTCGATCGCAGTATGCTGGCTTACGAGTCGGATTTGCAACGTCTTAGCCACAGACGCCGCTTTGGTAGCATATAGCTGGCCAAAAAAAAGTTGTTCTTATTAGATTTATATTAGATGGTAGACAAAGATGTATTTCTGTGTGTCAAATGGGGTGTTAGTTGTCACAGGACCTGGTATGCTTTAGCACATCATATGTTGATTTCTCTGTTCATTCTTCTGTTTGATGTGAAAAACTGACTCTACATATTTAAATTCACTTGTTTGTTTTATTTCTGTGTAATTTACTTTTATTGATGTGGTTTCAGGTTGTCTAACTGACACCATTGTCTCTGTCTTTGGTTAGTTGTGTATCCTTTACAGGAGGTTGCAGAACCAACCCCAGCTGCCCCTGGCTGTTGTGTGGTTTTTCTAGGCAAATTTACATCCAGTAGTTTGCCATTGCTTTCTGGACAGTCGGCCGGCCCCCTGATACCACTGTAGAAACCAACGCAAGGCGCATGACTCGTAGCTGGGATCGAACCCGGCACCCCGGCATTACGAAGCGTTCGCATCAACTTAGCCACAGAGCCGACTGTCTCTGTCTTTACTATGTTTAATTTCATATTATATTTCTGGCACTTGGTATTGACGTGATTGAGAGGGTTCTGGAAACTCATTTCTGTTTCCGCTATTAATGCTTGCTCAGCTGCAAATAACAATTCTCAAATAGTGTCGTTTTTTTCCGGTTGTCAGCTTCTTTGCATGTACTATCAGTGTAGGATATGAAAAGTTGGGGAGAAAGCACACATCCCTTTGTGCGTAGGGATGCAGTTATGTCAAGCATAATAAAAAAAAATACAAATCTCTATCAGAGGGGAATTTTCTTTTTAGAATTGACCTTGGCTGCCTGGTCAGCCTAGCCTACAGTGAGTACCAGGGGATTTCCTGTGAAGTAAAGGTAGTGGGTTTGATGTTGACCACATCACCCACCAAATTTCAATTGGTTTATTAAATGAGGCCTTATATCAACAGGTGGTCATACATAGGGATTTACTTGAAACGGCCTCTAAACTGCATTAGATATAAGTGGAGGAAGTGAAGTGTTCCTCTTCCTTTCTCTGTTTTATTTTTTCCTTCTTCTTTTTCTCCCCTACTCCATTTTTCTTCTTTGTCTTCAACTGCTCCTTTTTTCTCTTCTTTTTCTTCTTCTTTTACTTTTTCTTTTTCTTACCCTTCTCCTTTTTTCTTCTTTCTGCACCCTCAAAAGGGTACTTGACCTGATTTATTGTGGTTTACAGCTAACCTGCAATATATGCACATGTCATAGCAAAGGGCGGGATGACTTGGCATGAGTTAGTTGAGGGTCTATGCTCCACTGGGGATAAAAGCAGAAGAAGAAGAAGAAGAAAAAGAAGAAAGTTGCTGGACTGGATTTTCATCTATGATATGGAATAACTGCACAAGATATAATGGAATGGAAGAATAAACTGTGACCCCTATGTGACGTCATACAGCACAGAATGACGTTGATGATGTGGAACAGTTAAAAGTTGTCATTCTGGAGTCCTGTACATTAAGGTTCAAATCCTCTAGTCCTGAAAAGAGCTTGCAGCTATAAGTTGGCTTGATATGTTTCTCTCTACCCAGTACAAAAGTACCACTTCTACAGGAAGTATGTTGCAGTGCTAGTTTAAAAAATAAAACAATGAAAAGAACCTTTTTTTTCACGTCAGTGGAGCTTCAGTCATTTCATGCTAGACGTGTTTGTATGAACCAATAGGCCCTCAGAGTTTTCATATATATCTTTATACCTTTATATATTTTCTTCACTTTCACAGGAAGTAGAATAGACAAGTATTGGTTTCTTGTCTCTGACATTCGGACAAATGAGGAAATTATGCTTAGCTGTATGCACTTCAATTCCAAGATGTCAGTTCCTTTCACAAAAGCAACCGGCAAGACAATAAAGGACTTGTTTTCATTGTTGAAGGTAAGACTTTTTTTTTCCCCCAAAAAGAATTAAATTACATCTTTTTTCTTCTTCACTTAAACATTTAAAATTATTATTCTTGCTTTAACTAACTTCTTTTCAACTAGTTATTGCACTGAGTTAGTCTTTCTTAACCATTACTCTAACTTCTTTAACTCTTTCAGGCCCATGAATTTTGACAGACTTGGCCCAGATTAATTTCCCTTTACAAAAATGGCAGAGGGGTGGGTGTACAAGAAAGGCTGTAGAGACTGTAATATACTTCTAATCCCAATAACAGTATATATTTTTTAAACGAGAAATGAGTGTACATTCTGAATCTGATAATAAGTGTTTGTTTAAATTTTGTTATAGTTAGTGGAAAAGAAGAATTCAGCAGGTGTTAATTTCACAAGGATAACATTTCACACAAAAATTCTTCACTTACCATGGTTTTGCAGCCACAAGAATAGTAAATATCTAAATTTGAGAACAAAACTTCAAAGTTTGTCCAATTTTCTAACATATTCTTAAGTTATGATAACTTTCTGGGTTAGTTTATCACTCAGGGGCTCTTAGTTCCCACCGAGTGCTAAGCAAAATTTCAGAGAAAAAATGGCAGAAAAATGAACCATAACACACACACTATTTACTATTCACTTTGTACAGTTATTTACAGACTGCGATGATTTCAATGTAGCTTAGCTATAGTATAGTACTTTCTCTTTGTTTAGAGCACTTTCCTTCTCTTACACCATAAATATGGTAGTATGGGACATTGTCTGTGTAATAAACTCGTCAGAATCGCAAGATTCCGAACAGCTGATCGCTCAGCTTCACTGGTGAAAATTCACTGTCTGAATCACTTTCCGAAAAATCTAAATTTTTATTATCATTTTCACAATTAAAAACATCTGACTGAAACAATTTCAGAGCTTCGGCTGCAGAAAGACGCATTCTGCCATCTGTTCTTGTGGTTAGAACATTGATATTCAGTGCACTCAAAAACGAACTTAGAAAATAAACTGTTAAAAAAATTTAATGTTTTTTTCTCTCAAATTATCCACGTGTGGTTTAGTCCAAGAAGTGAAACTGAAAGGATTTCGCCAGAGTGACTTTCCCTGAATAGGTTATTCGTACCTCCAAACATTAGAAACTAGTACGAACGCGGATGCGAAGCAAAATGTAAGAGATACACGATTATCGATGACACCGTTGTTTGGGCAGAATGGAACTTCTCAAACTACGCTCACACCGTTGTTTGGGCCTTAAAGAGTTAATGACCGCAGAATGGTCCATGATTCACATCTTTATGTTACCAGAGTCTTTAACTTGAATATATTTGCTGGTTCTGTGCCTTCACTAAATATCTAACCTCTGCATTCCCATAATCCATCTGTGTCTGCCTTCTGGTTTTTTTTTTTTTTTTTTTTAAGTTTCTGTTCTTTTCATTTAAGGAGCCAGTATTCAAAGCTTTCCATTTACAACTTCTGAATGTTTAATTTGATTACTAGCTGACATTTAATTTTGTCTGTAGACATTGTGTTGTAAATTCAAAAGACTTTGATCTTCATTGTGTGTTTTTTAGCAAATACAGTTATGGAATGTGTAGAAAATGTATTCAACAGAAATGCTTGCCAGTCTCAGACACACTGACCACTCTGTTAAAAAGCTTGCCATTAGATGCAGAAGACTTACCCTTGAAAGATGAATTAAGATGAAATACTCAATCTCCTGTGTTATTACTGTTAACAAATACCTTTGTTTTTCTTTTTTTCTTTTATTTACAGCACCCACACATTTTTCCTGTGGTAGATTTTGATTTCTCAGTTGAGCAGAATCTGATTTTTGTATTTCAACCAGTGTCGCAGAGAGGCTCTCTCAAGGATCTCATTTACCAGGTGAGCTGGTTTATATGTACTGGAACCCACAGGGTGAAAGGAATAAAGGCAGACTAAACAACACATGGAGAAGATAACTAAGGAATAATGTGAAAAAGATAAGATGGGCATGGGTTGAGCTGAGTGGGAGCAAAGAATAGGATGACTTGGCATGAGTTGTTTAAGAGTGTACTCTACTGGGGGTAAAAGGCAGAAGATTAGGAACACTTTTATGTTTCAAGAGCCGCTGTTTTCAGTGCAGGATAACTAATTTGTTCATTTACATAAGATCTGCTCTGTCCAATCACAGAGAAACTAGTCTATGCAAGCACTGTGCATTTGAAACCTAAACTCAAGATTGTCTGCAGAAGCAGGGTCATGGTTTCATTACACTAAAATATTGTTAACATGAACTCAGTTAAGAAGAACACTTAGTTAACATGACACATGACAGAATGTTTGTTTCCAGCAGGGATGTATCATTCGGCTATCCTCCGACTAACGGTCAGTAAAGATGGCGGCCGCAAAATATCCTTTCGAGCCACAGTCAAAAGTCATGTGTTGTAAACATTAAAAAATTGAAGTCAAAACTAACAAGGAACGAAAAAAAAGGTTATGTCAAATCGACTACTTACCGATAATTGTATGCCTGTATATGTGGAAATTATGGCACAGACGTTCTAAATAGTGCTCGAAAATCTGCTGTTTGTGGCTGTTACGCCATTGAAACTCGGCTAAATACCATCGGGACAAGGCGCGGCTCGTACCGCATTGGTAACTCAGCTTTCTTTTTAGTAGCATCCACAGACCGGCTATCCTCCGAATAATGTGCAAAAAAAGATGTCGACCAAAAACAGGGCCTCAGTCACGTGTCAATTGCAAACCTCCGGCAACTGAATTTGCGGTTTTCCGGGCAACTACCGCCACCGCCGAGAGTAGCCCCCACGCTGCATGAGCGGCGGGGATTGGGGCTAAACTAGATGGCTAGGACTCACGAGGAAAGCTGCAGGAGATGCGGAAGCTGCTGCTAGTGGGTCCCAGCCATCTAGTTTAGCCCTATCCGCGCCACGCGTAGCGGCGTGGGGAAGACTCTCGGCGGCGAGTTTAGCTCGGCGGTTTGTTCCGTTTCTCAGAATTGTCAACAGACACTAATCCTAGTTTTCCCATGATGTGCTCTTGACCGCTAGTGCACAATTGACGCGTGACTGTGGCTCGTCAGGATATTTTGCAGCCGCCATCTTTACCGACCGTTAGTCGGAGGATAGCCTATAATTCTAAGTTGCTGGTCAACAATAAAACGGTTTTACACATACGCTTGATTTATTTTTTTCTTTTTGGAATTCATCTCAATACAGGTTTTTCTGTAATATCAATAAAATTCTGTTATAAAAGGACTGGTTTGTCCAGTCAGTAAATAAAAATTTATCTACCCAGTCACAGTAGAATTGGTCTGTCCAGTCAGACTGTTCTGCCATTATGTGTTACATAGGGCTCACAAGTCTCTTCCTTCATTCTTTGTGCAGTCCCTTTAATATCTCATGGATGGAATCCAGTCCTGCACATTTGAACCCTCTACTTAACATTCATTTAAGGGTTTCTTTTAGTGCCTGTTTCTTCTGCTTCTCCTCCTCCAACTTTATCGAACTGTTGAGATTTGGGGTGATGTTGGATCTTCATTGTGCTCTTTTCAATATGTTGTATAAGTTGATCTCCATTTCTTTAAGGCTTTCTTGATGTCTTCATTCAATTTTCTGCATGGTCTTCCTCTTAATCTGTGTTCAGTATATTGCTTCAGCGTGGCTGTCTGTGACACTGGGTACCAGGATATTCTCGTCAGATAGCCAGACCATTTCATCTGTTGCTCTTTAATAAACTTTATGACTGGTTCAGTCTTAGTCTTCTTCTGATTTCTCCATTGTAACTGTATCTCTGGCACTGAACACTGATATTTTTAGTTTTATGACTGTATCATTATATAAGGGGGTTTATTGACTAATGAGAATGTTGTATTCTGATTATAAATCTTTGTTTTGTGTTTGTTGTTAAGTGCCGCTACACAGAACCCTGGTACAACAAATACAGTCAAAAGCGTAAAGGTCTGCCTGTGGACAGCATTAAAAAGTATGGCAAGCAGGTGTTGAGTGTAAGTTTTCTTCGCTAAATACTTGATACATTTCATAACTCTGTCTGCAGTTATGCTTCATGTGATTGTCAGTTCTTCATGTTTTGTCAGCTTGTGTGATTGTATTGTGACTGTGTAACTAGAACAGATATCTGCAATTATCTACTATATCTGAATTGTGTTTAATTACTTTCAGTAAGAGAGAAACCATGATAGCTTACCCTTTGTGGCGATATGCAGATGTAATAGAGAGGTCTATAGATATGTAGGGAAAGGATGAGAAAGGTATCTTTCACACTCTTTCTCTCCCAGCCCACTCTCACCATATTATACAAAAACTAGACGAGGTGGGTAAACAGGTAACAATCATACAATGTAATAGTTATAATTCTAGTAGTTGATTGGCACAATAAAAAATGTTTCTTCCTCAGTGAGGAGTTAGTTTTGGAAGGCAGATTCAGGCTCGTGGGACAACACAGTCACCTGATGCATCTTGTAGATGAAGTCTTTGGTGATTCGGTCTCCCGTCTGGTGGCTCCTCATGAATGGGAATTCTTTCCTCAAGGCTTGGATGCCAACAGTGAAAATATGGGTCAAAGCCCTTAGAATTCCACTCACAGTGGTTAATAATTAACAATGTTCAGAACACAACTTGCCATCCAGTGGCTTACATTAATACCAATGTAGAACTTTTTTGTTATGTCGTGGCACAGCCGGGCTGGAACGAGACAAGAGCAAAAACAACCGCTTGTGAGAGTGTGCCTCTAAAATGCCTGGCTACTATCCATAATACTTAACTAACTCCCTTTACCTCAGCTTCTGACAACTCTATTCATTTGAGTTGTCACATCGCCTCTTATGTGAATCTCATTTTATATTTTAGTTTCATTAACCAGGTGACTGGGTTAAGCAGTCCCGCCCTGGTTATGACAATCATGACAATTCAAATTTATACTTACACCCACACACACCCATATATATATATATATATATTTTTCACTCCCACTCAATGGGGTTCAATCCATTTAAATCTTTCCAAGTTAAATTCCCACTCATGTGGTTTAAGGCTTCATTCAAACATTACAATCCCACCATTTGGGTTAGTATATTCACCAATTATAATTTCACTCATGTGGGTTAATTCATTCACAAACTATAGTTCCCACCCAAGTGGTTTAATGTGTTTACAAATTTTAGTTTCCACCATGTGGATTAAGACATTCACAAGTTATCATCCCACCATGTGGTAAATATATACACATATTATGGTTCCACCCCTGTGGTGTAATACCGTCACAAATTATCAAGTACTACCCACCCACGTGGTTAAATACATTTCCCAGTTTATGGACATACATCATTCTTCATATTCATTTGAATATCAATCCAATAATTCCCCCAAATCTAAATCATTTTACACAGATCCATCATTTCCCCAATTACCCTGGGTACTCTTAAGAATATCCATTCAAGAATATCAATCAAATAATTCCCCCAAATCTGAGCACTTGCGCCCAAAAGGAAATATCGATAATGGTAGCACTGAACCAAAATATACACTTTTCAATGCTTTATAACATACATGTACATATAATAAAAATAAGGATAACACTTGTACAAAAGGCCACATTGAGCTCTAGGATCTCTTACCCCCTTATCTAAATGCAATATACTCTTAACCTCGCGAGATTGTGTCAGATGTTAAAGACTACAAATCTCAGAAAAACGTCTAGTTCTATCAGTGACTATAGTTGAAGAGGACGGAAGTGAGATTTTCCCCGGAACTAGCTCCTATGCGCATGACGTCTCCGAATCGGGTCTAGGTGTGCACATCATCGTCATCTGTAGTGAGGATCGTTGCTAATGACGCTATCCCTGTGCTCCTTTCTAGTTTGCAGCACTCGGGAATTCCCCGACGGTATGTGCATTGACGTTATTATCGTAGACGCTAATCTGATCTTTCGTTGTACTGCACTTGCGTGAATATTATGACGTTGTTTGTTTACATGTACTGCCGATAGGTATGTACGATGTGTCGGAGCAAGCTATGTCCTACGCACTAGAGTGGTTTTCCGTGGTGTACCACTGCCATTTCGTGACACCCCTTCACCCTGAATTCATAGGAAAAAAGGAGCTATTACTCAGGATCAGTGCGAAAAAATGTTTCTTTTTCAATATTTAAATTTGACCCAAATTTTGACCCAATTAAATTTTTTCTATATATTTTTTTAAAACTAATGTAGAATTATATTATGAATTAATCAAGTAACAGAAAGTTACTTGATTAATTCATAATATTTAACGGCCTCAACTGGTTCCCCCCTCTGTTTATTTGTAGAATTATATGGAGGGAAGTAATCAATGAAGCACAAACAGAGCGGATAAATAAATACATTCCCTTGGGTAAACCCACCAAAACAATTTTGTTGACAGTTTTGAAGAAGAAACAACCGCTGAAGGTCTATTTTGATTTCATAAATACTAATAATAAAAAAACCATTTTATGCGCAATAAAAATCCAATAAGTATTTTTGTGTGCGTGTGTGTGGATAGGACACACAGTGAGAAAACATGAGAACAATATAACTAGAATGTCTTTGCACTGGAACCCACAAGAAAATAGAAATAAAGGCAGACCAAAAACACTTGGAGAGGGGAGGTGGAGAATGAAGTTAAAAAGAATGGGAGGTCATGGGGTGAGCTGCATATGGTAGTAAAGGTTAGAACGACTTTACATAAGTTAATTGAGGGCCTATGCTTCATGGAGGAATACAAGCAGAAAAAGAGGAAGATATGGTGCCCATGCAGCATACTTCCTATCTCAGCATTCCCTGTTTACTCTAGAGGAGCAAAGCATTCTGCAGAAGCTACCAGATCAAAAGAACAGTGCTCTCTCCACATGTTGTAGCTTCCCTCCTAGACCAGCTGCCAACCAAGACTAAAGAAAGGTCTCTCCTGCCAAAGCATAAAGTATTCAGGCTGCATTTCGTCTTCTTAGAATAAGGCTCTGTGGTTTCCAGGTCCAGCTAGCCACAAATGGGTACCATGTAATGTCTTGGTAAGTAAAGATGGTCGGCGTGATGTTGACCACATTATCCACCTAGTGTTGATTACTCTATAATCTGAAATCCTATGCCTAATATGCCACTGGCTTAAAAAGGGTCCCAGCTCACTTCTAAAACACAGGAATGTATTAGAACTAATGTCGGTGCTGTAATGCAACGTTCATGTTTTGTAATGTAGGGCCTATTGTACCTGGAAGAAAAGGGCTTCCCACCTCATGGTAACATTCATTCTGGAAATATAATGTTTGTGGATGATATCTGCAGGTCAGTCAAACTTTCATTTACTTTGTATAATTTTTCACAATTATCTGTACACTATAATCTGTCTGTTGACTTAAAGTTAACATAATTTGTTGTTGTGTTATTAACAATAATTTATGCAAACTTCAAATAAATGCTTACTAGTGCTTATTTGTTCTTAAACCTGAAGCACAACTGAAAGAGTTGAAACCTTATTTTAATTTCTGAAAACAGTCTTACAGCTAATTTTTGGACACATCAAAGACAGCAGGACAGGGAGCGTGGGAAGCAACAATTAAATTCATACTCTGTTTAATTCACCACTGATCACTGGAATCATGAGGGCTAATAAATGGAAATGACTGGGACATATAGAGAGAATGGCAGATAACTGAAAGACCTTCCCCATGTGGGTTCCAGGGTCCCATATAGGTTGACATCATCGTCTTCAGCATTGCCATTTATCTATCACAAATGGCTTGTAGTCTGTACCTCCATTTCAATTTGCACAATTTTTGTCAGTATCATGGATGGAATCTAGTCTAGCTTATTTGGCCTCTCATCACCATTCTGTGCATGGTTTTACTTTGGCATCATGTTCTCATCAATCCATTTCTTTTCTGTGTAATTGTCTTTTTGGTTATTCTTAGTCTACTTTTTCTCACTATATCTCCATCTTCTTTATCTTACATTCCTTGATACCAGTAATTGTCCAAACATTTCCTTGATCTCTTTGCTTCTCTTAAATACATCCCATTTGATGCACATCAGTTTCCTCGGACATTCCCGCCCCCTCCCCCAAATGCATTAAGCTAATTGAACTAGTTGTTCAGCTTTCCCTGCTACATGATAAAAATAAAATAACATATTTTAGATGTGCTTACAATGCTTTCTTAACTTAACGATACATTTGTTCTCACTTGCTCTTATTCAGTCTTTCTCATCTGCTCATATTCATTCTTTCTCACTTTGCTCATATTCATTCTTTCTCACTTGCTCATACTTATGTTTTCCCATGTGCTTACTACTGCCAATACTTACATTTAGTCTTTCTCACTTTCTCATACTCATGTTTTCTCGTGTGCTTACTATTGCCAATACTTACATTTAGTCTTTCTCACTTGCTAGTACTCATGTTTTCCCATGTGCTCACTACTGCCAATACTTACATTTACTCATGTTTTCCCATGTGCTTACTACTGCTAATACTTATATTTAGTCTTTTCCACTTGCTTATACTCATGTTTTCCCATGTGCTTACTACTGCGAATACTTATATTTAGTCTTTTCCACTTGCTCATACTCATGTTTTCCCATGTGTTTACTACTGCCAATACTTACATTTAGTCTTTCTCACTCGCTCATGCTCATGTTTTCCCATGTGTTTACTACTGCCAATACTTATATTTAGTCTTTTCCACTTGCTTATACTCATGTTTTCCCATGTGCTTACTACTGCGAATACTTAAATTTAGTCTTTCCCACTTGCTCATACTCATGTTTTCCCATGTGTTTACTACTGCCAATACTTACATTTAGTCTTTCTCACTCGCTCATGCTCATGTTTTCCCATGTGTTTACTACTGCCAATACTTAAATTTAGTCTTTCCCACCTTCTCTGTCTTTTAACCTTACAATTTCTTTCTCATGAAGATTATCCACCCTGTCTCACTCACTTTTTTTCCCTCTGTTCTTCTGTTCATCTCTCACAGCAAGTGTTCATGAGATAATATGAACAGAGTACACTAACATCATATTACCCAATTGTTGCAGAATTTCTGGCTATGAGAATCGTTTTCTAGCACACACGTCTCGTGTGTACACTTTGGTTAAGAAAAAACTAAAAGACCAAAACAAGAATGCCCTGGACACTTTGTGCATTGGTAAGAGATTAACTTTAATTTCACATATCAAATGAGTTGACTTTTTTATGTGTCACTGAATATTAATCAGTAGTAGATCAAGCAGATGTAACACGAAACAAAAATAATGAAGTAACAGATCCTTTTACATTGTAATGTTGTTAATCCCAGGGAAATCCCAGAGAGTTCCCAATGGGGAGGACAAGGTCGGAGGACCAGTGATACAAGAGGAAAACGAGATAAGCTGGTCTCGAATATCCCGTGGTGATTGAATAAGGGTTACGAGGAAAGCGTAAGACTGGAACAGAAGACGTGAGCCCAGAGAGGGTAGTAAGACAGTTGAAGTTCGGACCTGGTTGTGTGCGATCGTATGTGAGATAACACCTGATGAGAATGGAGAACTTGTGACCAGGTATAATTGTTCAAGAGCAGAGATGAATGTTTTCCTGATTGCCAGTTTTAACATGTACTAATACCAGGTACAATGCATTAGTATGATATTGATGTGTGATTCGAGAGATACAAACGGAGCGAATCAGCGTGCGAGAGAGTTGGCCAGGCCATCAGAAATCAGCCATGCATAGCGACCACGAGGACAAAAAAATGTTAGTGAGATGTTTGTATCAGCGAATAAAGGTCAATAACTGAACGTTCATCTTCTGGAGTGTCCTAGCAACTATGTGTACGTCAATACAGCAATGTAGCGTGTAGAAACAAACCCCTAGCAGAGCACATTGCATACATATTTACCTATTACCGTTGTAATTTTGGTGGTCCCTGAAAAATATGGAACTGTAAATTATTTAGTTTTCAAACCAAGTTATATATTTTCAGTTGTAATGTAACTTTAGTTATAACAAAGTGCCACTGAAAGTTGGAGAGCCACTACAGACACGGAATGACAGTTCAATGCATGCGGGTACTGATGAACATTAAATTTGATGAGTTCAAGAAAGGTAAATAAATCAAATAGATCTCTTAGAAAACACTTGTATCCACATTTATAAGACAAAGACTGTGGAACTATATTGGGTAGCTTCTGAAGAGAGTGAGCAGAGAATCAGTGAACTGGCACTGAAATTGGAAACGAATGCACTGAAGAAATGATAATGTCCAAGAAAAACCCTGAAATTTACATTGATCAGAGGCCAGAAAACAGATAGAAAACAAAGACCTGGTGTAGTGCTGATGTCTCCTGTCTCGAGACCTCTTTAATATCTACACAGTCAAGATCATGGGAGAACAATCAACAGGCAATAACAGAGCTGATGTTGTTTCTGAACTGCAAAATGAATGATACCATCATATCATCCTGGTGCACCATAAATTATCCTGGTGCAGTATCTCAGGAGCAATGATTAATCCATCCAAATTGACAGTCCACCTGTGTGTTACTGAGACCACCACAAGAAGTGTTCTAAAAATTCATAAGAGAGAGACAAAGATAATGGGAATAAATCAGACAAACAGTAATCTAATTTCTCTTAATGATATTCCACTCCAAGATGTGGAGCCATATACCTATTTGGGCAGTCATGTAGGTAAAGATGGAGGAACTAATAGAGACATTAAAATATGAATGCTGGAGGCAAGAGGCAGAAAATGTGTGAAAGTCAAAAGAAATTAATACTAATAACTTAAAATGTGTAATTCTATCATCAAGCCAGTACTGTAGTATGGAGGAGAACCATAAAGAGCAACTAAAACAGTTACTAATAAACTACAAACATTCATTAACTGGTGTCTACACAGAACATAAGAAATGGTATGTGTTGGTTGAGGGCTTATGCTCCCTTGGGGGATAAAGGGCAGAAGATGAAGAATGTGAAGGTCACCTGGTTCTCACTGAATAACCTTCATTGTCAAGACATCAGTGCTAGTGGTGGTATTCTATAGCAGAAACTTGGAGAGACCCGACTTGTTGAGATACTTGAGTATACATTTGGAGAGATGACTAAAACATTTCAAGAGAGTAGGTCACATTACTACCAAGACCATAGTTATAATTGTGGCTGCTACAGGTTTTGAACAACATCTACTTATGATGCTGTATGAGGGATTAGTTCTCTCAACGACTGAGTATGCACTGACCATCATGACAAATTTGTTTTGTTTTAAATTGATGTCTGATGATCATTTCATTTGAATTGCTCCTGATGCAGGTCATTTACTGTATGAGATGGCATTTGGATCAGAGCTAACTTCTGCTCACCCAGAGCCCCAGCATTTGATTGGTCACCAGTCTCCAAACATTGTAGAGGTACACAATATAAATGTGTCTATTACACTGGTTTACATCATATTTTGCTACCTCACTGTTTTAGTCCAAAATGCAGTGATGTTAACTCAACTAACCAACTAACATTTTATCCATGTTCTTGGGTAATTAATATTATTACAGTAAATTTTTTTTTTTATATAAGGCTCTGGAAAAACTTATCATCATCATCATGTAGCAGGTCCTTTGCAGAACGTTGCTCTTATCACCGTCTGCCTGATAGAAACTCGGTCTCTCGCCAGTTCTCCCACCTCATGTACTTTCATACTCAAGGAGTCACTAATATCCTGGGCCCATCTTCATGTCGGTGGGCCCCTGCCCCTCCTTCCTGGTACCATGCCTTCTGCTATAGTTTTTTCCTATTAACTGTGGCTTTTGATATGACCAAAATATTTCAGCTTCCGAGACAGGATGCTGTTTCTTAGCCAATCTTCCTTGATGTTCAGATCTTTCAAGGAAAAACATAGCTTTTTTTCTAAAGCCTTATACAGACAATAATATTTCTTAAATACACAAATGTCTGTGTTTCAAAAACTAGAGGTGCTACAGACCTATAAATGTGATATTTGGATTTAGCAGGCCTTGTATATGCAAAATCAGATGTAAAAATATTGGCAAAAACAAACTAAAAAATAATTTTATAGGGTTGTTTTATTGTTTGTTCTCATTCATATATTAGTTAAATATTGACACTTGACTCTTGTGTGACACAGTATTCATTTATAGTCCCATTAGCTTGCATGTTGTTGGGTCACCAATTTCGCTTGACCCTCTGATCACTTCCTCCTACCTCTATGGGTCAGATGCAATGGGCTTGATGTTTGCATGTTTGAGGCTTGTCCAGTCAGCCCTATAATATCATTTTGAGGAGCCAGGTAGATCTTGCTACATGTCTATATATTAATAAAGTAACAGAAAATGTATTGATCAGCACTCACAGAAAGAAGTAGAAAGATAGAAGAACACACTAGAAAACATAAAAATTGAAAGCCATAGTTGCCGTGCTGGGAATCGAACCTGTCACCTCAGGATGGCGTGTGCGCCTTGCTGTGGAAATAAGTGCACTAAGAAGTTTATTTATTGTTACATGTCTGTATCATTGTATGTTCTGTCTTTTTTACTGTTGCTAAATGAGGTACATCGTTGTGACACTTTATATATATTCCAGTTAGAACTCTGAGGACTGTACAGAGTAATTTTTATACGAAAACTTCTATTACTTGTTTGAGCTTTAAAAATTCACAACATTTGAATATCTACCTAAGTACACCGACTCCACAGTTGTGTCTAATATTTTGGATGCTTGTTTTTTGCCTTCTTCCAATACCCAAGTCATTAGAAGCACAAATGCTTCATCTCCTCTCTTCCTCCTACTGCATTGTCAGTGTCTTGTTTTCTCATGCATCTCTTACTAGTATTTCAGTTTTGGATAGAATTGTTCCTGTCTATTTCTCAGTGTTATGCAAGTGCTTTGAAGTGATTTTCTTGTTACCTAGGACAATTCCTATGTGTATACTGTTGTGTGAGGGAAGGGTCTTGATGGCGAAGTGGTCAAGCCACTTTTGAGGTTGTGGATTTGTTTCACAGCTGTGTTCAGTTCACGAGTGCAGTTTTTATGGATATCATGGGAGGGGGGGGGGGGGGGGGGGGGGGGGGGTTTGCTTGAGCTAGAGAGGCCATTCTTTGAGTGATGCTTTTGCCAGCAGCTACCCATTCAGTGTAGAGAGATCAAACCATATAAGGTTATGAGTTAGATTATCTTCACAGCACTCCGGACACATCCAAAGGCGCTCAGATTCCCCTCTCATTATATTCATCAGCGTCGGGTGGTTAATAGTGCCAATCCTATGTTGGTTAACAAGACTTCATGTGCATCCAGTGTGCTTCTCATGCTTGGCTGTGCCGATCTTTACTCCCAGTTCTTGTATTCTTAGCAGTGATGAGGACACGTTGCTTCCAAAATCCTCAGAACGTCCTCTCTCTCTCTCAGGGCAATGACAATGTCTGTGTGATCCATCTGCCGGCTATCTTTAATTAATACAGCACCTGCCAGTCTATCAACTTTTTTATTACCAACAACACCTGCATGCCTGGGGACAAATATGAAGGCAACTGCACACACAGGAGAGTTTTGTAATGACTCAAACCACTGTTTGCGTAACCAGCCTGCCTTGACCCGCCGGATCATGCTAAAATAATCACTCATCACACACACATGCGGGAATAGTCCTGTGATTCTAGCCACGTGAAAGCTTGTGTCACCGCCATCACCTCCATCGTCATGCTGCTGGTAGTCATGGATAAGGCACTGCTGGCTTCTTGAACTTTTCTGCCATAAATGCCCAAGCACTCTTATGTTTTCGTATAACGGACCCGTCTGTGAATATCACCACATCTGTCTCATCTGACTTGTCACTGATAAGCGCGCAAACTCCTGACAACTCCTATCGAGCATCAGGACACAGGAGAATTTGAGATTGGGCACTTTAGACGCTGGTATCCATTCCTCACCTGGATGGATATCTGTAAGGCTGCAAACCTGCCTGATGTCATTCTCTGCTCTACCCAGCCATAATTTGCCCCTTTTAAGCCTATTGCCCTTTCTCTCAAAGAGCATGTGGTGCAAAGGATGCTTCAGATCTGAGCTTATCTTGAGGTATGCACGAGCCCTGTAGTTCAAGGTAGGGAAGTCAAGAAGGTACCTCGTTGCTACATAAGAGGTGTCACCAGTGCACCCCAGAATAATGCGCATTGCTTTGTTTTGCACCTTCTCAAGTCTTCCAATCTGAGTATGGCTGACAGTAAGGATGGCTAGAGCATTTTCGATGGTAGAAAGTACAAGTCCCTGGAACAGAAGCAGAAGCAGTCTCTGCTCAGTATTAGCGGCGGCCAGGACCCTCATTGCTGACAGGCCTTTGCGTGCTTTTGTTATGACATGGTCAGCACGTTACCATATAAGGTAACGGTGCAATTAAATCTAACCTCTTAGGTCTACCTTTAACCATGAAATATTTTTTCCTAAATGCCTTCACCAGCTCCTGATAACAAGGACTTACTGAAAAAATTTTTTTTTCTGAAGTTTAATTTTGTATTTATTTTCTGCCCTGCCTCTTGCATTAGATGTTATCCATGCATTAATCTGTTTTAATGTCTTAACTTTGCCTTAAAATATTTAAAATATAATCAGTATATCATATTTGTATTTTTAATTCTTTATTTAATTCCTCAGATTTTAAATTTCATCTTTGAAAATGACAGTGGAATATACCCAACAGTACAGGAGGTAAATCATGCAGTAATTGTTCTTTGTAAGAAATTAAGTTTTGTGTTCCTGCTAATAACATTTCATTTCATTTAAAAGCTTAATTCTGGCTTTTATCTGTCAGCTCTTTATTTGTTTACGCTATTTGAAATAATAGTGGACACTAAAAATCCAAATGATAATTTTAAATGAGACAGGCATTGTTACTTCATTGTTGAGTTCTGTGTGTTGTCACTGTTGCTGTTTCTAATGTTGTGTTCTATGTTATAGATTGCCATCAGGCTGGTGATTTGTATCTGAAGTTTAACTGATGGTATTATGTTTTCAATTCAGATTTCAAGCCATTCATTCTTCAGGAATGTCCAGCTGCCTGAATTGATGAAGTACAACCCAGCAAAGGTCAGGGGATGTTTGTTAGCAGCAGGCTGTTTTTTTCTTATGTGTATATTGACCTGTTAAAAAAGTGCAGGTACTCACCACAAAGTATCTAAAAAGATGTTGGTGCTCACCAAAAAAATGTCTATTAAAGAAGTGCTAAAAATAGTATGCCTATTGCTGAGTGTATGTATATGTTAAGATTCATCATCATCATCATCAGGTGCCTTGCCGACTGGCGTGGGCGATCATGCCTCTCCATAATCTACGATCTTCTGCAGCATGTATCAGTTCGTGTGCCGACACACCTCCATACCATGCAACAAGACTGTCAAGCATCTTCTCTCGTTGTCTTCCTCTATCTCTCCTTCCACATATCTTTCCAGTGGTCACAACATGTTCTATTTTCCCTCTTCTCATAACATGGCGGAAAAATGATGACTGTCTCCTTCTGATGTCTGATAAGTTGTCTTCGGGCTCCCGCCTCTTTCAAAACCTCTTGGTTGCTCTTTTTGGCTGTCCAAGGTATTCTAAGCATTCTTCTGTAAAACCACATCTCAGAGGCCTCCAGAAATTGTTTGGCCTGCCTACCGATTGTCCAGGATTCACAGCCATATATTAAAACTGGATGTATGTCGCAAGCAAGAATTCTTTTTCTAACTCTCAATGACAAGGATATATTGCACAAGATGTTTTTCATTTTATAAAATGCAGTTTTTGCCTGTCCTATTCTATTTCTTATCTCAGTTATGCATCTTCCATCTGATGTTATCCATGTGCCCAGATATTTAAATTTATGTACTTGTCCTAAAATAACACCATCAACTTTTATTACACATTTAGGAATAATTTGTTTCTTTGATACCACCATTACTTCTGTCTTCCCATTATTCAAACTGAGGCCCATTCTTCCACTTTTTAACACCACAATGTCTATCATTTCCTGTAGTTCTTTCTGACTTGTTGCTATCAAGACTGTGTCATCAGCATAACGTAAATTGTTTATATTGTGCCCACCAACCACAATTCCGGGCATACCAATTAAAGCTCTCATTATATGTTCACAGTATATTGAAAACAAATCAGGTGACAGTACACATCCTTGTTAAGATTACAAGTTTGTATAAACTGAGAGGTGAAAGACTATATATAGTGAGGTGTAAGAGGTTGAAGTGATAGATGGGAGACTAATGTTACAAACGAGAGATTGTTTGAATGTGATTTGTTAAGTAAAGTGTTAAGGAACTATGTCTCTGACTGTTCATCTCTTCACATGATTCTTTGCCTTATGGCACATATTTGTGTACAAATATATTTTAAACTGACAGTATTTTTACTATAACTACTTTCTGTACCAGATCCATCTCAACGAGCCCATGAAGACATTACTTAAAACTGTCAAGAAAGGTAAACCAATCAAACCTGCCAAGCCAGCCTCAGCTAAGTGAGTTTCACGTTGATCAGCTAAATCTGTTTATTTCTTTGGATATTTATTATGTGTTGGTCTGTGCATTTGTGGACAGGCTGATTAGACAACTGATCATATCCTTCATGGCTGCCATAGACTTCATTCATTGGGGACAGAACATTGGCACACAAGAGACAAACGTCCACACCAAACTGTTTGGGAATGATTGAATAAACTGAACAAACTTTGTTTTTCTTTTTTTACCCTTTATCCTCCAGCAGAGTATAGGCCCTCAACCAGCTCATGCCATCCTCCTGTCTTTTGCTGTTGTATACGGCTCACCCTATGTGCTGCCTGTCTCTTCAACTTCATCCTCTAGTTCCCTTTTCCATGTTTTTGTTTTTTTCCGTCTTTATGTCTCCACCTGTGGGTTCTAATGATATTGTTTTTAGGTTTTCTCAACGTGTGTCCTATTTAATACCAGTGTCTTCTCCTCACATTCTTGGTCCACTGGAACTTGTTTAGTTCTCTCCCAGAGCGCTACATTAGGGATTCTACATACCATTTAGTTCCCTCTATTCTGCATAGGCACCAGTTAATGAGTAAATGTAGTTTATCTGTAACTGTTTTAGTTGTTCTCCATGTTTTCACTCCATGCAGTAGTACTGATTTTGATGATAGAGTTCAATATTTTAAGTTCTGTGTTAGTTTTAATTTCCTTAGACTTCCACAAAAGTCCTTGCCCAATGAAAATTTCTCTTGCCTTTTGTATTTGAAGATCTCTATTAGCCCCCCATCTTTACTTACGTGACTGCCCAAATAGTGTTTGATTCCACATCCGGGAGTTGGATGTCACCAAGAGAAATTAGATTACTGTTAGCCTGATTTATTCTCAGCATCTTTGTCTTTCCTTTTTGAATTTTTAGACCTGGTTATTGTGATCTCTCATCAGGTATGTTTAATTCATCTTGCATCTGATTCTAACGAGTGAGATAGGAGAGAAAATGTTGTCAGTGGAGTCCAAATTCTCAGTCTGTGTCATAGGGGGGCCACTGAATTCCATTCCTGGTAGTAGCTGTTGCTGTCTTCATAATCCAGTCTATTGCCAGTAAAAATAGTAAAAGTGACAAAAGGCATCGTTATCGTGCACCTGTTCTTATTTTAAATGTACGAGGGGAAGTCAGTAAGTCAGTCAGAAATGGGTGATTTAAAAACCTAAAGGTGATAACACCTTGAAAACTGTTTATTTATATACATACACTATCACTTTATTTTGCCACATAATTTCCACTAACATTGAAGCACTTGTCCCATTGTTTTATCAGTTCTCCCAAACCTGCTGCATTGAACTGTGTGATCTGTTTTCTAAACCACATTTTCACTTCACATTTAACTTCTGCATCATTTGCAAAATGTCTCTCGCCAAGGTGGGTTCACAGTGGACCAAGCAAGGTGGAAATCACTAGGGGCTGTCGGAGTTGTAAGTTGGATGTTCCAGAAGTTTCCACCCTAGATGGTTAATTTTTTCCAGAGTTAACCGTGCCTTCTGTGGTCTGGCATTGCCATGAAGGAGCAGCACTCCTCTAGTAATCAGACCTGTACGTTTTTCTTCAAATTGCATCCAAAGGCATTGATAGAACTTTACAGTATGAATCAGCGTTCACATTATCACCTTTTTTTTTTTTTCTAAATTGGTTAAAAGCATTTCTTGACAATCCCAGAACACTGTCAGCATAACCTTCCCTGCTGATGGCACATCCTTGAATTTTTCACACAAGGCGAAAAAGGATGTTTCCATTGCATTGAAGTACTCTTTGGTTCGGGCTGGTAGTGATGCACCCATGATTCGTCCCCAGTAGTAATCCTGTTCAGCATGTCTTCTCCTTTGCCTGGATATTGACAGAGATGCTGCAAGGACAGGCCTAATCGGTTCATTTTGTGTTCGTCCGTCAATTGTCTGGGTACCCACCTTGGGCACATTTTCTCAAATTTCAATAGATCATGCATTATGTTGAATGCTGAACCCTGTGAGCACCCTGTTGCCACTGCTACAGAGTCAACCGTTACTCGTATGTCACCTCTGTTCAGTTTCATGGATGCGTCCACTGCAATCTCAACAGGACGACCAGATCGGACTTCATCAACAATTTTAGAGTGTCCTTGAGAAAATCTATTAACTCAGCTGTGCACAGCTTTACCGGAAAAACTTTTGTTAGCATAAACAGAAAGCATTTCCTTACGAATGTCCTTTGCAGTCAGCCTTTTTGCCCCCCCCCCCCCCCACCCCCACCCCCCAAATGCACAACAGCACATTTTTCTTTGAAGGTACACTCCGTAAAGTACAGTCGTCATTTTTGTTTCTGTATTGCGAATGCACATGCAACACCTAACGCCACCTAACGAACAGAGACATAAAATTCGACATTGCTGTCACCTAATGACACCTTTAGAAACTACCAACTACATTCTCCTGACATCCCATAACCATTTGTGACTTACTTATTGACTTCTTGTATCTGTTAGTTTTTTCTCATGAAGATTACATTTCATGTCTTCATATGTTGCCTTTAGGAAGTTAATTTTCTTTAGGATTTCAAAGTGCCTCATTCCATTGTGCCTGATTCCATAGTGCCTCATTTATCTGCATTTGTAGACTGGCTGATCAGACAGCTGAACATATCCTGCAAGACTACTGAAGACATCATTCACTATGGACAGAACATTGGCATACACGATGCACACATCTACCCCAAACTGTCTGTGAGCGATCGAACAAACTTTTTATTGGGGGGAGGGGGAGGGGGGAATTGTCATGCAGGCCCATCGTGCATGTGGCTCTTTGAAACATATATCTTTCACACAGCAGTTGTATTTGATCTGTAAGGCATGGTGTGTTCCTATAGCAATATAATATGAATGTTGAGTAAAAATGCAGCAACATGGGTGGAAAAATTTATACTTTAAAATGTATGCTCATGTGTAGACACCCGCTAGTCAAACACACACATACTCATTCATATACACACACAGTCACTCATTGAATTCATTTGCTGGTCACTTGTACCAGAGTACAGAGACATGATTGCCTATGGCAGTCGTGAAGGCATAAGATGATAATAATGATGATGATGGTAGAGGCGAGTGCAGAAGGTCATCGCTGTGCACGAAGTTGGGAAAGAGGTGTTTCTGAAGTTTTACGGCTATTGGTTTACATGAATGTTTTTCGAGTTTTGCGAGAGACAGTGAATTCACGCATTTTGTGAGACTCATCCGTGGCCGGATCCTGGGCTGGAAGGAATCCCTGTTTGTCCACTTAGTGCTTTCAGTGGACAAGATAGAATAGACACATATGGGCGTACGTTTTTTTGGCTTGTGGTCATGTGTATTGTTTTATTTCCATGGAGAGTTGAACTGTTTAGTGGGAGTTTTTCGTTCACATGTTTATCACCAAATCTTCGTCCTAGTATTCGCGCCAATAAAATTGACTGAAGAACAATTATAGATGCCTACTGATGTATTGGTGTCATACTGTTGATAGAGTGTTAGAGATACGATGTGAACTAGGTGTACATGTGTTAAATAATTACTCTCTGGTAGGAAACTCAAATAGTCAGCTTTAGTATAGATAGTAACACTTTACAATACACACACACTTATACTCAGAAATATACACACACTCCTGTGGGCTGTCAATTTGAGTATTACACATCCATGAAAATTAGACTTATTGTGCAGATCTTGCTTAAACAACAAGAGTGGCAGAGGGGTTAAGCCATTGTCCTCAGCCTCTAGAGGTTTGTGTATTTGCTGGTGAATGTGTCATCTGGTTTGTGTATTTGTTGGTGAACTGTCATCTGGTTTGTGTATTTGCTGGTAAACTGTGTCATCTGGTTTGTGTATTTGCTGGTGAACTGTGTCATCTGGTTTATGTATTTGTTGGTAAACTATGTCATCTGGTTTGTGTATTTGCTGGTAAACTGTGTCCTCTGGTTTGTGTATTTGTTGGTGAACTGTGTCATCTGGTTTGTGTATTTGTTGGTAAACTGTGTCATCTGGTTTGTGTATTTGCTGGTAAACTGTGTCATCTGGTTTGTGTATTTGTTGGTGAACTGTCATCTGGTTTGTGTATTTGTTGGTAAACTATGTCATCTGGTTTGTGTATTTGCTGGTAAACTGTGTCATCTGGTTTGTGTATTTGTTGGTGAACTGTCATCTGGTTTGTGTATTTGCTGGTAAACTGTGTCATCTGGTTTGTGTATTTGTTGGTGAACTGTCATCTGGTTTGTGTATTTGTTGGTAAACTGTGTCATCTGGTTTGTGTATTTGCTGGTAAACTGTATCATCTGGTTTGTGTATTTGTTGGTAAACTGTGTCATCTGGTTTGTGTATTTGTTGGTGAACTGTCATCTGGTTTGTGTATTTGTTGGTGAACTGTCATCTGGTTTGTGTATTTGCTGGTAAACTGTGTCATCTGGTTTGTGTATTTGTTGGTGAACTGTGTCATCTGGTTTGTGTATTTGTTGGTGAACTGTCATCTGGTTTGTGTATTTGTTGGTAAACTGTGTCATCTGGTTTATGTATTTGCTGGTAAACTGTGTCATCTGGTTTGTGTATTTGCTGGTAAACTGTGTCATCTGGTTTGTGTATTTGTTGGTAAACTGTGTCATCTGGTTTGTGTATTTGTTGGTGAACTGTCATCTGGTTTGTGTATTTGTTGGTAAACTGTGTCATCTGGTTTGTGTATTTGTTGGTAAACTGTGTCATCTGGTTTGTGTATTTGCTGGTAAACTGTGTCATCTGGTTTGTGTATTTGTTGGTGAACTGTGTCATCTGGTTTGTGTATTTGTTGGTAAACTGTGTCATCTGGTTTGTGTATTTGCTGGTGAACTGTGTCATCTGGTTTGCAAGTGTGGCTGTTTCATAAATTGCTGGGAGTGGTCATTGTGACATGCAGTTGTTCTCTGTGGAAACAGACTGAGCCAGGTGGAAGACAACTGGATGCAGTAAAGTTGATCCTCCTGAATTTAAACAGTTGCATGTGTTTAAAGACAAATGTCCAATGAAGAGGGGGGGGGGGGGAATGACATTTTTGTGTCATCTATAATTAATAATATTAAAAATAGTTATTACTAATATAAAAACTCTTCTGTAAATGACTTGTCACAGTGAGCCCTGCCACAATGATTTTATACATACATTGTCATCTCATTTCATTATACATCTTATAGGGCTGGCTGTCTATTCCTCCGTTCCATTTTGCCTTGTGCATGTCATGGATGGATTCCAGTCCAACACCTTTGGACTCATATCAACATTTATTTTAAGGTTTCTCTTTATGCCTGCGAACCCAGCGGCGTAATGTTTGTAATATATGATTTCTCACTTTTCTTTTTCATAGGAAGAAGAGGGCAGCTGGCCAGTCAGAACCACAGCCACCGACGTCACCAACAAGCCCAGTGTCACCAACAAGCCCAGTGTCACCAACAACACTCTCAACTTCTAGAACACCAGCAGTACCTTCAACTCCTAGAACAATCTCAACTCCTGCAACACCTTCCAGTGCTACCATCAGCTTACTACCGCCTCCTCCTCCACCCCCTCCTCCACCACCAGCAGCTCCAGTTCCTAGCGAAACTACTTCCTCTGGAAGACAAGCATTACTTGGGGACATAAAAAAGGGCATGAAACTGAAACGGACGGTGACTAATGACAAAAGTGCTCCAAAAGTTTGAAACAGTTACTGTTCCTGTCTCTAACATTTGCAAGGAGGTTAGCATAAATGTATCATTAATTTGTAATAGAATTAAAAGAAGATTTAAAAAACTAATTCATAATCGTTCATAGAATTAAAAAAAGATACAAAAATTGGTCCATAATTTTTTTAAATTAAAAGATTAAAGAACTAAGTAATTATTATTTTCATAGAATTGAAAGAAGATACAAAAATTGGTCCATAATTTTTTATGAAAATTGTGGAGGCCAAAAATCATCATTATTCTTGTGTATTAGTAAAGGAGGCAAAAGTTAATCATCAATTATCCTTAGAACTGTAGAAATATAGAGAACTACTCTGGTAAGGTGGAAAATCTAGTTTTACATGGAATTCTTGTATTTTTTGTAAGAAATGAACTGAAAATGTATAATTATTTGTTAACTTAATTGTTACACAGAAGAGAACTTCCATAAAAATGTAAATTATATTAAATATTGAGTGGGTACCAGGAAAAGTCCTGCCAAGTAAAGGCGGCCTGCGTGATATTGACCACATCTGCCACCGAGTACTGATTGGTCTATAAAATATAGTTGCAGCACTCTATGCCCAGTCGGCCTGGATGTTTGAGAAAGGGTCCATCACTTTAGTTATTTCATAGAATTGTTTCACAACTCTAGGAATTGCTGCATTGTAGAACTGTAGGAAGGCAAACAGTATATTAGTTTGTTGTAGAAATGTTGAAGGGAAAGCAACTACAAAGAAGGAGATAATATTAAATCAGTAAATGTTCATTCACTAATATATTATTGTTTACTATGGGAAAGAAGGCTGTCACACAGACAGATGCACAGTAGGATATCCCTGCTATGTCAAATCATTTTGCCTGGTATTATATGCATGACTTCCTGTTGCCAGGAAGAATGCTTTTCTCCGGTTGTAATATTTAACAGATTGTTACCTGCAACTTGAAATTGTTTTGGGGTTATTTATATTGCTGTATGTTAAGATGTTAATAGCCTGTTTGTGCTTATAATCTTAGTTCACACAATTTTATAAGGATTATTTTAAGACATCCTTGGTTTTTTTTTTTTTTTTTTAAATAATGCTTGTTACTGTCATCCAGTATTTTTTTTTTATGTTTTCTGTTTTATTATTACAGGTATATGATATACTTTTTTGTTAAATGGATAAGTAATTTATTTTAAATGTTAACATTTTATGATTTTATTTATGAAAAATTCTCAATTATTTGTCTTGCAATATTTTTAAATGATTTTGTTTGTTTCATTGATTTTTTTTAAAATTGCATTTAGCTGTGAAGTATTTATACTTGCACCCTGGGAAGAAATGTTGCCATATTTAAGATTTTAAGAGCTTATATTTAAGTATTTCTCCTTAGTGTGAAGTAGTTGGCTAAGTTATTGACTGTAGCTAAGAGTTGTTGTAGAGCTGTCATGGTGTAGTGGCTAGATGCTGTCCTGCAAATCTAAAGATCATGGGTTCAGATCTGCATGGTGCCAGATTTGTTTTCCAAACATGACTTTGGATCCCAGGTTGACCAAGTCATAAATGGATACCAGGTAAAGTCCTAGGAAGTAAATGTAGCCGGGATGATGTCGACCACATCACCCATCGAGGGCCAGTTGGTCTCTCTAGCCTCCCTCATATGATTAATGTGCCATTGGCGTGTAAAAGATCTTTTACAGGTAGAAACGTTATTGACTATAGTGAGGGGTAGATGGCCGAGTTATGGACTGTAACTATAGTTTGCTGACTGTAGTGAGGAGTAGGTGCTGTAAGTTACTGACTGTAATGAGGGCTAGGTGCTGTGAGTTGCTGACTGTTGTGTGGGGTAGGTGCTGTGAGTTACTGACTGGTGCGAAGTAGGTGTCTGTTATTTCATAGTAGCTTGACTAAACCCAGCATCTCAGAATTACAAAACACGCTCACAACGCCTAAACCACAGGCGCTGACAAATGTATAAACATATGTTATAATTGTACAGTGCGTAAGAAATGTTGATTTGACCTTTTGTTATTACAGAACCTAATGACATTGTAACTGATTTACTTTATACCTATTGTAATTAGCAAATTGCATAGGAACTGTGTCACCGATGCATACTTTTTATTCTTCATTTCCATGACCTGTGTAGTGCTGCTGCTAGTCCTGTTATTGGAGCGTGTAGAATTTGTAGACAGTTTGTTTATTTTCCCTCAGATCATTTCACATTATTTACAACTGTGTAATTGTCTGCAAACGGTTTAAAATTAATGTGTTTTTTAAACATCCAAACACTTTGGAGGGTTGGAGAGGAATTGCATGTTGATTTTTGAATTTTTGCTATATTCACTTGTTCCTACTTCTTATTTGATGTGATGGAACATGTCTAATGGTTGTACTTTTTTGTACAGATGTTCTTTCAATGTGTTGAAATTATATTTCTGGGTGTCATGCGTCAGGGTTTTATTGTGTTTTACAGAGTTTTGCACATTTTAGAGCTGTATGATCAAAATTGTATTTGTTGAATTGTTGTTCTTTTTCAAGGCTTGCTCACAAATGAAATTCAAATTACATATTCATTCAAATAATATGTTTATTGTAGGCAAAAGTAATCAAAAATCACAGTTTTCTTCGTCTTGTTCACTTCCTCTCTTACTACGCCCAGTTTCAAGTAAGAAATAAGGTTCTACTTCATGCTGTTCTAGATGCCTTGAGCATATACACATTTTGCAGTTGTAGAATGTCTCTGATGATATCTTTCCATTTTGTTCTTGGTATGCCTCAAGCTCTAGTTCCTGTCCTCCTGTGATATTTGCCTGGTATGGGTCTCAACTTTATGAACAACAAAATGACATCCCCCAGTGTTATGTTCTGTCCCCAGCAGTCTTCAGAACACTCATATGTTTTTTCTTGAGGCACAGTTTAAAACACAAATAATTTTATCTGCACGTAAGCAGTGACTAATATAGTGAACTGTCTTAATAGTTCATCTCTGGTAGATACAAGTAGTTTATTTAACCAGAGTTTGTTTGTCAAATCAGTATTAAGATATATTTAACAGTGGCCATGTCAAATCCTATTAGGCTTAGCAATTGTGATAATAATGTAATCATAATTATTTATTTCACTTTAGTTTTTTTTTTTTCAAATCAGTATTGTGTGATTGGATCTGGGATAATGACAGCTCTTGTTGATAAAGGCAATTTTTACAAAACTGTAATCATCATCATGTGGTAGGTTGTGTACTGAATGTCACTCCCATCACGGCTCACCTAAAAGAAACTCATACTTTCACCAGCTGTCCTGGCTATGGACTTTCCTACCCAGTATGTCTCTTATGTCGTGTGCCCATCTTTGTGCTGGTACGCCCCTGTCCCTCTTACCTGTACCACGTCCTTGACCTGTGTTCTTTCCCATCCATCATGGCACTGGATATGGTCAAAATATTTGGCTTCCACAAGTTTCTTGGGATATTAATGCGATAGTTTCCCCTTCCACATCCACGTGGCTTTAGACTGTGTCCTCAGCCTTTGGCCACAGTTAACATTGTCATGGCAAGTGAGTGCCCTGCCCTGTGAAACTCTTGCTGATGGAAGAGGGCACCCCAGAGGTGTCCACTTATCCTGGCAGGTATTTGGCTCCCATAGCTGCTTTAAGCACACTGTTTGCCAGCCTCAACCATGTGGAGATTCAGTAAGGCTTTTAAAGTCTTGAGACTAGAATTTGTGATCATAATAATTGATTTATAGATTTTGGGAAGTCAGCATTGAGATTTGAGATATAGGAGCTGTGAAAATGTAGTGATAAAGTGCACCAGCCTGTCACTGATGAGATCTGGGCTCAAAATTACCCCAGTCTCACCATACACATAACAGACTTTTATCAAGGAACAGTTTAGAAAAATGGACTCATTGAACTATATAAAAGTTTACATGTGGTCCAGCCTCAAGCACAGCATCGTCCAAATTTACTACACTGTGTACATAACATGCCTTTGTGCAGGATATGGTCCCCTACTTCACTGTGTACACAACATGCCTTTGTGCAGGAAATGGTCCCCTACTTCACTGTGTACAAAACATGCCTTTGTGCAGGACATGGTCCCTCACTTCACTGTACACAACATGCCTTTGTGCAGGATATGGTCCCTCACTTAACTGTGTACACAACATGCCTTTGTGCAGGACACAGTCCCTTACTTCACTGTGTACACAACATGCCTTTGTGCAGGATATGGTCCCTTACTTCACTGTGTACACAACATGCCTTTGTGCAGGATATGGTCCCTTACTTCACTGTGTACACAACATGCCTTTGTGCAGGATATGGTCCCCTACTTCACTGTGTACACAACATGCCTTTGTGCAGGATATGGTCCCCTACTTCACTGTGTACACAACATGCCTTTGTGCAGGACATGGTCCCTCACTTCACTGTGTACACAACATGCCTTTGTGCAGGATATGGTCCCTCACTTCACTGTGAACACAACATGCCTTTGTGCAGGATATGGTCCCTTACTTCACTGTGTACACAACATGCCTTTGTGCAGGATATGGTCCCTTACTTCACTGTGTACACAACATGCCTTTGTGCAGGATATGGTCCCTTACTTCACTGTACACAACATGCCTTTGTGCAGGACATGGTCCCTAACTTTACTGTATACAGTATGCCTTTGTGCAGGACATGGTCCCTAACTTTACTGTATACAACATGCCCTTGTGCAGGACATGGTCCCTAACTTTACTGTATACAACATGCCTTTGTGCAGGACATGGTCCCTAACTTTACTGTATACAACATGCCTTTGTGCAGGACATGGTCCCTAACTTTACTGTATACAACATGCCTTTGTGCAGGACATGGTCCCTAACTTTACTGTATACAACATGCCTTTGTGCAGGACATGGTCCCTAACTTTACCGTATACAACATGCCTTTGTGCAGGACATGGTCCCTAACTTTACTGTATACAACATGCCTTTGTGCAGGACATGGTTCCTAACTTTACTG